CTGAATGTGGAGAGACCATACATTATTGTCATTAGAATAATATAACAGCAATAGACCTAACCCCAGAGCCACAGCACCCCACATACTTCCTGTTGATGTCCTGAAGACAGAGACCTAACCCCAGAGCCACAGCACCCCACTTACTTCCTGTTGAAGTCCTGCAGACAGAGACCTAACCCCAGAGCCACAGCACCCCACATACTTCCTGTTGATGTCCTGAAGACAGAGACCTAACCCCAGAGCCACAGCACCCCACATACTTCCTGTTGATGTCCTGAAAACAGAGACCTAACCCCAGAGCCACAGCACCCCACATACTTCCTGTCAATGTCCTGTAGGTAGTAGGCTTTAGCAAGGGCCCCAAGATGAGGGGGGGTCTCAAAATAACAGTAAATTTGGACTAATTTTGTAATGATACTAGATAATCTTGAAAAGGAATCATCAATAAAATTTAAAAGCATATTAGGTGTTGTTTCCTGTTTACCATTGTACTGAACAGAATTTGGAGATCCATAATCAGGGAGCTCAAATCTGAGTCAGAAACCAGCAGAGCCAAAACCAAGTAACCAGAAATCCAATCACAGCTAAAGGGAACATCCAGATACAAAAATGTAGATTCTGGCAAAGCTTCATTAACAAAGTGGTAATCAACAATGCAAACGAATTCAGATGGCACAAAGCCAAGAATCGGTAAACATGGAACTCCAAAGCACAGCTCAAACACAAATGGCACGGAAAAAGAAAATGCTCCTTGTGGCACAGGAACTCAGTTGTTCACACCAGGCTACAGAAGTGCTCAGCTTAAAGCAAGTAGCATGATGATCGTTGTAGGTGTGGCTGTGTGGGTGAAGGTACAGTAGGTGTGGCTAAAACTGACCAGATGCAGGTGTGACAAGCATAAGTTATTGATGGTCTCATCCCAGCTGAATATCATGGCCTTGCAATATGACAACAGCATGTGCATAACATGCAATCTCAATACCATCATTGCAGGCAATAGAAAGTGTGACAGCGGTGCCCAGAAAAGAAAGAAGAGAGCAAAAGACTAGCATGAAAAAGAGGGACTAAAAGAGGGACTAAGAGAGGAACTAAGAGAGGGACTAAGAGAGGTACTAAGAGAGGGACTAAGAGAGGGACTAAGAGAGGAACTAAGAGAGGGACTAAGAGAGGTACTAAGAGAGGTACTAAAAGAGGGACTAAGAGAGTGACTAAGAGAGGGACTAAGAGAGGGACTAAGAGAGTGACTAAGAGAGTGACTAAGAGAGGTACTAAAAGAGGGACTAAGAGAGTGACTAAGAGAGGGACTAAGAGAGGAACTAAAAGAGGGACTAAGAGAGTGACTAAGAGAGGTACTAAAAGAGGGACTAAGAGAGTGACTAAGAGAGGGACTAAGAGAGGAACTAAAAGAGGAACTAAGAGAGGGACTAAGAGAGGGACTAAGAGAGGGACTAAAAGAGGGACTAAGAGAGGGACTAAAAGAGGGACTAAAAGAGGTACTAAAGCAGTCAGAGATGATGTAGTAGCAGGACCATCATCCGTCTCCGAGTCTCAAACTGGGGCTGAAAATGAGACAAATTTAGCTGTTAGCGTTACTGCTAGTTATAAAGCCACCACACTCTGAAACTGTTTAACAATGAATCCGGGGGGGACGAGTGTAACAATCCCAACTATAGAGGCCTCTGAGCAAACCGAGTCAGGGAGCCGCTACTGCTGCTGCAGCGGATCCCTACAGTACTGATCCCACTCACTGGGGAACGCTTTATGGTTCAGTCCATGCATAGTGGGCTAAGAAAGGATCAAGGAGCTGCCAAAATAAGGACGCTGAGAATTCTCAGAAATTTGTGTAGAAAACAATACTCAGTCATATATGTTTACTTGAATATGTATTTCTTTTTTAACAGTTTTTAAGGGGTCAAGCTACACAACTGACAAACATTTGGGCCAGTTAGTATGCAAGATGGTAACCATAATGGCTAAGTGCTTGCACCAGTATATGCTGTGTAAATATGCAATTTCGGATGCACCCTTTGTTTTGGTCATTTTCCACACCGGAAATTTTATCAAATTGAACCATACAAAACATTTTACAGCAATCTTTCTTATAATGAGATCTTATGGTTCTTATCAGCTTGAATCAAACTGGCATGGACTTAAGTGGAAGAACTAAAGATTATATCTTTCATGGAAACCAAGATAGAGTGTTTATGTCAGGTATTTTCCCACCTTTAACGTGATATTGTAACCAACAAAATTCAGGTGAAAAACAAATTGAAAGTTGAATGAATTTAAAGTGACTATGCTCCTCGAATTGCTCCTGAACTTTCAGACATGTGCTGTGAGACTTATTGTTGAATACTGCCACCTACTGTGTACAATTGTGTGCAAATTTCATGACAGAATTTAGGGTTTAGCAGAGTGAAATGGTAAAAAAAAAGTGTAAAGTGTCACTGACGTTCACAAACAAAAACAAAACAAAAAGCACTTGATTATCAGTGTGCACAATGAATAGATAATCAGAAACTAAGTCGATTTCCTCTCTTCACCATCAACAGAAATAATGATAGACAGTTTTTGTTATTCACTATACTTAAATGTGTATGTGGATGTGTGTGTGAATGGTGTGTGAGTGTGCCCTGTGATGGGTTGGTGCCCCATCCTGGGTTGTTCCCTGCCTTGTGCCCTGTGATGGGTTGGTGCCCCTCCTGGGTTGTTCCCTGCCTTGTGCCCTGTGATGGGTTGGTGCCCCTCCTGGATTGTTCCCTGCCTTTTGCCCTGTGATGGGTTGGTGCCCCATCCTGGGTTGTTCCCTGCCTTGCACCCGTAGCCTCTGGGATCGGCTCTGGACCCCCTGCTACCCTAAATAGGACAAGAGGTTGTCCCAAAACTCCCAAACTGCCAAACCTGCATTCTGCTTAGTCCGCCAGTACCTGTCAGCTTCTTCAGAAGTCCTGCAAGCTAACAAATCTCGAAAGGCCCCCTTTACTGCTAGTGTCCACCACCGGGTTCATTCTAACTGTGCAATAAAAATAAAAGCTTTTGACTCAGGCTCAATTTGTCAAACTATGCAGAGTAATTGTATGGGTGATGAACTAGACCTGATCAAATATTGTGAGAGACTGCCCCAAAAGTAAAGTAATGCTGCATAATCACAGCAAAAATCACAGTTTTGACACTTGATCCTGTTAAAACTATAACTCACAAAGTATTTGATTGTTCTTTTTCAAACCTTGCAGAGAAATTGTATGGGTGTTGAAATGGAGCTGATTAGATTTTGAAGCAGATTGCCCCAAAATTGACACTATGCTACTTAGTAGCAGCAAAGGAAACCAGGCGACATTTGTCCTTGTGAATGTAATAAGTCAAAATGTATTCCATGGATCTAATTACTACTTAATGAAAACATGAAGATCTACACTTAGTTTTATTTTCAGAAAAATTTCCCCAAAAATGAAACAGCAGCACTGTCTGACAGCAAAAGAAAGAAACGGCAGCTGTAGAAGACACTTGATGTTGACAGTAAGTATTTTTTCATATCATTTTCAATCTGCAGACACATTGTAGAGATGATAAAGTGGAGGTGATCAAATTTTAAGACAGATCGCCCTAAAACTGAAACAGTGTTACATAGTTATAGCAAAAAATGTTTGTGAGTCCTTGAGAATTTTCTATATTTCTGCTAAATATGACCTAAAACATTATCAAAAGTCCTTTAACTGAATAAAAAGAAGCCAATTAAACTAATGACAAGTAATATTATACTTATACTGCTTCATTTAAAATGACCCAATGCTACATACATGTGTGTAGAAAACGTATGTGAACCTCTGCTGCACCAACCCTAACTAAACCTTTCTGGTAGCTGTTGATCAGTCCTGCACATTGGCTTGGAGCAATCGAAGCCCACTGCACTTTACAGAACAGCGTCAGCTCAGGGGCATTGGTGGGCCTCCTCACACGAACATAAATCCTCACATGCTTCAGCTCCCTCCACAGCTCTTCTATAGGATTAAGGTCAGGACTTATTCTTGGCCATTCTTCTGCTTTTCAGCCGGAAAAGGGTGGAGTGCTCTCTCCGGGTCGGGGAGGGCGTCCTCCCCCAAGTGGAGGAGTTTAAGTATCTCGGGGTCTTGTTCACGAGTGAGGGAAGGATGGAACGGGAGATCGACAGGCGGATCGGTGCGGCGTCAGCAGTGATGCGGGCGCTGCATCGGTCTGTCGTGGTGAAGAAGGAGCTGAGCCAAAAGGCAAAGCTCTCGATTTACCAGTCGATCTACGTTCCT